TTCAATGCCTTTGGCATGATTTTGGCATCACAAACTGGTGCTAAAGACAACCAGTGCTAACTGGACATGGGGTTATCCTCACCTGTACATTAGTACAACAATGTATGTTAAACCAAAAGTTATTCAATAAAATCTATTAGAAATAAAACCCTCAGATTACGGGGTTTTAGATTAGGTTCTGTCACAAGTATTTTTTCAGATAAGCTGTCTTGTTTTATAGCAGATTTCATCTGATACTTTACTCTGTGGTAGAACGGGCTCTTAACTACAACTAGTTCAAAAAAATGGGTTTAATAACAGAAAAAAAAGTGTTATTGCAAACATGTCTTTGGTCACATCTGAGCTATTACTGTGAAAGCAGGGAAACAATTTCACGGTAGCATTGGGAAGGGAACAAAAGTAACACAATCCCTGTAGATAGTGAGGAATGTGTGAATATGTCCTGAATGTTTAGTTAGTGGAAAAGAACCCATTCGCAGACACTGTTCTTCTGAAGGGCTCAAGGCAGAAATGTGGGCTGCAATATTTACCGTAGAATTTCAAATGATTTTGTGTTATAAGAGGCTGCAAATTGCTAAAAGGTGACCCCATGTCTTTTTATTGAACTCCCTTGATCCATTTTATCTTCACAGCATTTTTTCCCCAAATCTTCAGCCACAAGCCCTCATTTGCAGACATTCATCTCCCCTGGGGTTTTGTACATAGTGCTGTAGGCAATTTTTTTTTTCCTAGAAAATGTGGGAGTCGTAGGCAAGTAGGTAGTGTAGATAATTCAAGGTTAATGACTAATCCTGACCATGGAAAGATCAAATGATGAACTGAACCTCCAAAAGATATTTCAAGTTTGCTCCGGGGGCCTGCCAGATGAGTGTTGCCAAAGCAGATTAGAAGAAGAACTCCCAATTCCTCAGAAGAGATACTGGGAGGTCAGAGGTTGAGGAAGACTCAGAAGATTTTGAACAGCCCTCTCAGATTGCATGTCCTGCCCATCCCAGCTTTTTGAGGCTTTTGAAAATCACACCCTTCTGGGCATTTTTTAGCTAGAAAGACAGCCACTGACTGGGTTAAAATCTGTGCTTGAAAACTCATCACTGTCTCCCTGGATCTGACCACCAGCAGGCTCTTTTAGCTCTTGAGTCTTCTACAGAGGTAAGATTACAAAAAATAATACCACAGAGAACCATCCCTGTGGCTGTGAGCAAGATGAGTGTGTTTGTCACATAAATCAGGGCTTGTTGGCAAAATGAGGGGCTCTCCAGGGACTCCAGCTGGAGCTCTCCCATGGTCCCACAGAGGGCAGGTTATAACCTGAGAGGGAAAGACCAAACTGAGACAAGCTCTGGTGTTAAGCAATCCCTAAGATCAATTTACAGGCTTAAAGTGTAACTGGAAGCCAAGAGCTCTGTATGATACACACAGGGCTTAGTGTACAGCAGTTAATTGGCTTAGTTAATAATACAGAGCCAGCTTGGGGGTTGGAGTTAGAACACTGGAGTTATTTTTTACATTGTCATAAGAAGAATACTTACCTTTTTTTTAAAAAAAAAAAACACCCTATAAGTAAGTCTCATTGTTAAACACATCAGGGGTGTTCAAAAGGTGTAATGACAGAAAATCTGCCTGTGATGTAATTTAATAGGAACCATCACGTGATACTATTTGTGCATCACATTTTTCTTCCCCGTGTGTATATTACTTGCAGATAGTAATTCTACTGATATCTTGCTGCACATTCCTTACCAAATATGAAACTGGCAGAAATTTTCATCTTTAATCACTTTGTCCATAAATCCCTTGTTTTTCCACTTTAGTTGTGAATGATATTGTGAAGACATAACTGCAGTGATTCTCTGTGTTACAGGCACCAAAAATATTTTCAGCTGCCTGTGAAGGAAACTTTGGGGGAGCCGTGGGGGGGTCAGGGCACTGCCAGGGCTGCACGTGGGACTCACCTTTACTTGTTTGCCAGATCATTTTTACAAGCCATTGAGCCAGGCAGAGATTCCACTGAGAGGATGGAGTTTTGTGGTCAAAGTGATCTTCCCCTTGGTGCCTTTGAAAATAACCTACTTAACTGATATTATTACTATGCAGACATTTCATGTCACTTGTCTCCTGGATATGAAACTAAACCCACCATTTCAAAAGAGCCTTTACTTTCTAAGTGTTTCAATTCCATGTTAGCAGCAGTTGTCACAGGCAGGACAGAGTGGGCTGTGAGGTTTCAGAGATCCCTTCCAGCATTGCCCCTCCTTATTTGTGAGCACTGGGCTGGGATCAGGGATGGATGAAGTGGATGGGCAGCTGAAGCTGCCCACTCCAACAAAAAACTTGGAGGTTGTGTTTTTAGCACAAACACATCTTTGTACTGATACCCTGGGTTTCAGCTCATGCTGTGCAATGATGATGATATTTAGGTTTTCTGTGCCAGTTTTCCAGTTACTCCCTGTTGTATTTGTACTGGAGTGGCACCAACTAGGCACCACCAAACAGGGTAGAAAACAAGGTGATCTCTCCCCTCCACAAGAGCAACAGAAGAATTAAAGAAGGAATTCTCCTTCCTGAAAGGAAAGCCATAACCTTGCTTCTTAAAGCATCTTGGGAATAGTTGGCATGCTGTGTGCTGCCCATCCTAAATGCAAGCTCACACACAGCCTCTGCCAAGAATGTATTTTTATCTTTCTTTGCTTCCAGTCCCTTTCCCTTTTTCTTTTGCCAGTGGCTGTAGATCACAGGGAGAGCACAGTGCTGAAGTGAGTATTAGTTGAGTGGAGCCTGGACAGAACCTGTTCCTGACTCTGTGACTCACGTTCTGCTCGTAAAGCACAGTCTCTCCATCCCCTCCCTGCCTTTGCTGAGAGGTTCCTTCACCCAGATGGACCTCTGACAGGGCAGAGCCCAGCTGATACCAAGGGGGCCTGGCTGTTAATTCTCATGAACACTGATTTCTGCACTTTAGGGCTATTTTTGTCAGACTTTCAGCCCAAGTATTCGATTTCCCAGCTGACATTTTCCTGTTCTGTAAGGGAGGTGCCAATTGCTGAGCCACAGAGATGCACCAAAACTGCAGTCTGGAGAAACAGGTTTGGTGTCTTGCCAGCTGTTTTAGCCAACAGGAATTCACAGATGTGTCAGTCAACTGCTTTAAAGCACAGAAACATTTGAGTGGGGCCCTGTTCCACAAAAGACAGGTGGCCTGGTCCTGCTCAAACCAAATGGCTTCTTGCCTTCCCTGTCAGCTCAGTCATCGGTGCTGTCACACCAGGTCATTAGTCATGGCATTTGCAAATTAATTCATGACACTTGCACCAGGTGAAGATGTTTCAAGTTGTGCTGAACTGATTTTTCCCATTCAGGAATGGGAAGATGGGAAACAGTCGTTGGATTTGTTTCAGAGAAGTTACACGACAGCTTCAAAAGAAATGTGGTTAATAAGTTGTTGAGCACTTATGTTGTTCTGCCTGGGCTACAGGAGCCTTCAGCAGAATGAAATAGTATTTCTGAGCAGGCTTGTTTTTGAGAAGTCTTATTTGGGCCACTTTTTGTAACAGACAGCCCAGGACTGGGTGACAAGTAAAAGATTCATGATGTAAGGATACTAATCTAGATGACAGCCCTAAATAACAGGCTAGGAGGTCAATTGCCTGGTGAGAAAGGCATGATGGCCTTCCTCAGGGTTATTGCTCCAGTCCTTCCCTCCATCCAGGAATACCTGTAATTACAGAGAACATGTTCCTGACTGACAGATTGCAGGAAGTGTGAAGATGGATGCTGCTTCTCCTTAGGAAAAAAGTGTCCCTCCCTACATCCCTCCTAATCCAGATTCTTCTTAGACATTTTATCCAGCTCTAACCACAGTGGTGCTTTCAGCACTTGCTGGAGTCAGTTGGAGCTGGAAGATGGAGGGGTGAGGATGCCTCCTTTCCCTCATGGCATCAATATGTTCCCTATTTCGGAGGAACTCAAACACCTCACAGTGTTGGGCTGGGTTTTTGCTAAAGAGTCTTTAAAGACATAATAAAGCAAACAACAACAAAAAAAGGCCATATATTTGTTCCCAGCACACTTTGATCAAAGGGGAAGGAAATGGAAACTTGAGATGTGCTCACGAAGTGAATGAATCCCACAGCTCAGAGGAATGATGGTCATAGGGAAACACCCCCACCCCAATCCAGATTGGGTTGTAGCACATCCTGGTGGGCTACAGCAGCTTGGAAACCACATTGTAGGATCCTTTCTCTAGGGGAAGTCTTGTCTTTTTAAATACTTCTTGAGCCTTGGCAGTTAAATGCAATTGAGAATGCACCTGGCCAGAGTGAATGAACCTGGCCAGGACTGAAGCCCTTAGTGCCATAAACTTCAAACAGATGAGATTCCAATTAAACATCCTGGAAAGCCCAGCTACAAGAAGTGAAATCTCATCAGTGACCTTTGAGAGAGTGACTGAGAAATGAGGCAGGAGATGTCTTTGCATTCTAAAGGTCCAGGATGTAGAGGATTTCTATGCTTTGAGGTCATATAATGTAGGGCTGGAGAAGCTGGTTCTGGTCTTGGATGTGGGAAAGCCCTGTAGGGCCAGGTGCCTGGCCATAGCACATCCCAGCTTGTTGGTAGGGTCTCTGCAGTGATGCTGTGCTTGCAGATGCAGCCCAGGTACCTCTCAAAGGCAGGAATATTTGTGGGGTAGAATGGTCTGCACACAAGTCTGTCTTCATCTGAGGGAAAAACACAGCCACACTGTAGAGAGTGGGGTTAAAGAGAGTGATGCAGAGTTTCTGTTTCTGCGTGGCATGGAGTCAGGAGGGAATATTCACTTGTATCCTGACTCTCTCCTGCTTTGCACACCCAAAGGTAATCAGTGATCTCAGTGTGATGATAACGCAGCACCATCAAAGAACCCACGAATCCAGGAATTGCTGCCCATTTCTCACTGGTTTTAAGAGAAGCATAATGTTTTATCACACCAGTTTGTTAACATTTTTTCTCTGGCTCCTTCCCAGGTGGGTGACTGGCCACTGGAGTCCCTGCTCTGCCACCTGTGAGAAGGGTGTCCAGCACAGGGAGGTGACCTGTGTTTATCAACTGCAGAACGGCACCTACGTCAACACGAGGGACCTTTACTGCCTGGGCAACAAACCAAGCCCGGTGCAGAGCTGTGAGGGAAGGGACTGCCTGTCCATCTGGGAAGCATCAGAGTGGTCAAAGGTAGGAACTTCACTCGAGAAAGGAGCCAGACTGCACAGAGCTCTGCCTTAATACAGCTGAGGGCTTAAAATTCTGCGTGTTCTCGTGGTCAGCAAACTCCCAGCATTGGAGCACTGGGTAGGACTCTTATTTGTGGAGATGAGGTTTGATTTCCATACTGGATGAGTTATTAAGGCAGGGTTTAGATATGCTTTAGTAACTATATCTTTCCATCTGAAAACTCTGACCAGGAAGGAAAAACATTTCACTGACCTGAGGCCAGAAGTGTAGCAACCCACCAGGACTTCTGTCTCCATTTAAATGTGGTATGAAACAAATACCAGATTTATCAGGCATCTGCATGTTGCAGAGAATGTACAATCCTTGGGCCTTATCCAGCCTTCCTTTGTCTAATTCCAGGAACATGAAAAAGCTGGTTATACTTTGTATAAAAGGTGCATCTCTCAGTAGCTGCAGAGTTAATTTTTTTTCCCCCAGGTATTATAAATGCATTTCTGATGTAAATGGCCTAGGCAATTAGACTGTGTTTTGATTAGCAGCAAAGTGAGCTGGGAATGTGCCTGCAGTTCCTGACCAGGACTTGGCTAATCCAGGGCAATTTTGTCTGTACTTTGTGAGTAACATTCCTGATAGGATGTCCATGTTAGTTTTGATATTATATCTGTTGGGCTTCTCTGAATGATGAGATCCTTTCACTCCTGGTGCAGCACTTCCAGCTCTCCCAGGCTCATTCCAGCCTGGCTGTGTCCTGGCTCTGTCCAGCAACAGCCCTTTCTGTGAGAAGGATTCCTTGTTACTCATCTCTGTTTGAAACAGTGAACTCCTGTTTAAAACATTGTCAAAGAGCTTTTGCAAAATATTATTGTTAGAAATGGGCTTAAAAGTCACAGGAGCTCAGGATACAAGGGATCCTGAGGAGCAGTGTCTCTTCACGAGCACAGTGGGATTCCATTGTGCACCTTCTGAACAGGAAATCTTGGCTTGGCAAGAGACATGATAGTTAAGTGAGAGCAGCGTTTCCTTTCAGTGAGGTGCTGGATCTGTTCACTTGTGCAAGATATTCGTGTTCTTCCTGAGTTCTTTCATTTGAAAAGATGTGGAGAAACACACCGAAATTTTAATAAGTTGTCTGGTAGGTCTTTTGTGTGTCATAGACGTTCCCCTCTTTATTTCTTACAGCTAAACCAGCTGAACTGTTTGTAGCTGACACTGTTCTGATGGGGCAGTTCCCACCTGTTGTAGATGTGGAATTTTTACTTGAGTCTTTTGTTAACAATCCCAGGCACTTCTCTCTCCTTTTTATGGAATGGATGAAGTCAAGTTAGAGAAAAGTGGAAATCCAGAGTGGAAATCTTCCATGTTTGTGACCACGTAACTCGTGTGCAAATACACAACATTTTTAGATAATTTTTTCAATACTGGTTTACTTTTCCTTTGATACATTTATTTACCTTTTGTCAGGGATATAATTGTCCACTTGTGCTTTTAAATTTGTTATTCTGGCACATTTCTGCTATTATGTAGCACAGTTGACTCCAGGACACATTTCATGCTCTGCCAGTGTGAACACTTCTCATACCTAGGACTTTTCTTCAGTGATAATCACTTTATTCCTTAGCATTTTAATCTGATGTTGTGGAATAAATATCACAATAGTGATATCATTTTATAAATCAATTTTCTGATGTATGTTTTTGAACGTCTTGGTTGTATAACACAGTTGATATCTGGTCCCCAGTCAAAAATGTCTGTTTTCAAAGCAAATTCCAATGCAATCTTCATCGTGGAAAAAATTAAGTTCCCCTTGTATTGCCAAACACTTGGGATTGTTTTGGACAAAGTACTGCTCAACCCATTTTTAATGACAAAAATAGAGACTGTCAGGAAAAGGTGAATGTTTCTACTGTTACGGAGCTAGAGTAGAAAAAAATATGGATTTTCTTCAGATAAAAGAACTGTGTTTTAACAGCAAAATTGTGTTGCTCCTTTGAAAAAACTCATGGGTATTTAACTAAGTAATTTGTTAATAAAATAAGACATAATGATCTCAGGTGGACGGACTGCACATTTGTGGAGTCTCTGTAAAATCTCTATATCAAAAAATTTGTCATGAAAACAGAGGACTTGAGGAAAGTAAAAACACTCTTAAAGGGGGTGATTTATATGTGACCACCAAAGATCTGTTGGAAACCTTTCTTGCACATGCTGTTTTGTCTAGGGAAGTATATGCAGAATTAATCTGTGAATAGCTTAAAAGCTGTGGGAAGAACAAACAGTTGGTGTTTTTCCCAGACTTGCTTGTAAAACCCACCTAGAGATTTCTCCTACTGTGAAAAGCACTCCCACTTCAGCTTGATTTACTTGGAGTAAATTGGACCGTTTGGAAGATTTTATGTGTTGTGCTTTGTAGTTTGAGATGAACGAGTGCAGCCCCTGGGGACTGAGGAAAATGATAGATAATTTGGGAAAATCTGTACAACTCGGGGCAAATTCATGGCTTTAAGGTACCATTTAGGGCTCTCTGGCAGGTCTTGTGCTCTGAGGAGCCCAGCAAAGCGGTTGCTGGAATCCTGCAAAGCCTGGAAGGATCCATCCATGCATCCAGCAGAACTGTACCTTGTGCTGGTCACAAAGATGTTCCATCCGTGAGGGGGTCACACAGTAGATGGAGTGGAAGGTTTCCCAGATTTCCAAGGAGTCACTCTGTGGTGCTCTGAAGTATTTAAAGGCATGTCTGTTTGCTTGCCAGCTCATAAACGCTTGTCATTCACGTCCTTAACAAGGGCAGCAGGTCAGAGCTGCCTGGATTGTGTTTTTAAGATGGTTAGACAGGCATGCTGAGATTTGTCCATTTGATGTAATTTATATCAAGCTGATGCTTGTTTCCAGCACAGACCCCCTGGATGGAGAAGCTTCTTGGAACACGTTCAAAAGACCTCACAGAATATCTCATATCTTCGCTATTTATTCAGTGTCAGATCAACTGTCTTTTCCCTGCTGATCCCCTGAAGGGGAGAAACTTGACATGCCAGAGGAGGTTGGTTTTTATCTCAGCTGGTACAAAGGTCATTTTTCCTGTCCCCAGTGGCTCTGCAAGAAAATGTCTCACTCTTCACCACTGCAGTGGCATGAGAGGGAAGAGCAGGCAGAGTGGGGACGTGGATTTAGGAGGCTGTGACAGCATCAGCAGATCTGGTGCTCTGTTACCAAACTGATTATTGAGAACAGAAATCTGGTCTCCATTCGTACCAGTGTCATTTTCCCACCTAGTACAGTCAAGGAAATCAAGACAAATTCTCCATTAAAAGAGATTTTCCAGCCAACCTTTGGCAAAGATAACAACTGGTTGACCAGATATCCCTGCTCTTTAGAAGCTACTTCCCCAGAGCCCAGGCACAAAATCATTTGTGGGTAATTTGTGTTCACTCCCGTGAATGTTGGTTTGTTAAAATCCTTCAGAATTTACATAGTGATGAGCATGTGACAAACCAACAAGTGAAGGTGATGGATGGATGAAGGTGTTTCACGTGACAACTGTGATTTTGCCATGATATGTCCAAGCTGTGCTACAGAAACATAACAGTGATCTAAGGCTACTGTGATTTAAAATTGCATTTATCACCACCATTTATCACCCTTGATACATCAAGGGATGTGGCAGTTCTGTGTTGTAAATCTCAGTGTGTACTTTCTCAGTATGGATGATGAGCTCTTAAACACCAGATTTAGTGGGTTTTTTCATCTGTAACACCAATTCCAGCAAAGAGCCAGCTGATATTTTTCAAAGAAGGTTTTTTTTTCAGAATTGCCTCTTTTCATAAGTAAAATATTTCACTAGCAGGTACAATGCTTTCCAAATTACTCATTTATGAGTGGCTGAGATTATTGTAATAAAATCTTGCAGATTAACAGTTTTCCTCAGTGTTCACAAACCCAGCTTTTCCTTTGAGCTGTGTTAGCAAGGTAAAAATTGTCATTTCTAAGCACCCTGTACCAAAACACAAATCCCTGCTGTTTTGCAGTGCTCAGCAGACTGTGGGAAGGGGATCCAGAAAAGAACAGTGACCTGCACAAACTCTCAAGGCAAATGTGATGCAGCCACCAGGCCAAGAGATGAGGAGGAGTGTGAGGATCACACAGGCTGCTACGAGTGGAAAACAGGCGATTGGTCCAAGGTAACAACAGATTTAACAGCAAACACTACCTGTGTTTTTTTTCTAAGTGCAAAGATGTTCACAGAGCTGTCTGTATTAATTTAAAGTTTGAATTTTAATTTGGAAAGGAAGGGTTTAACTGGTTTTGGAAGTATTGCTAGGCTTTAAACCCACCCATTATGCCATTTGTAAACCAAACATTGCAACAGAGGCTCATGAACATGACCATCAAGTTTTAGAGAAATCACTTTAGAGAAAAGTATTCCAAGCAGGATAAAACTGAATATTAGTTGACAGCTTAACCATCCAAAGGCAAAACCCACACAAGGCTCCCACCACAGGTGGACTTGTCAAAAAGCTACTTTATAAATGATGCTGCAACTGTTTTTCATATTTCAAAAAGCAGACTCTGAACAGTTCTGACAGATTGAATTCTATGGAAAAGAGTTCATTAGCAGCATCTTCCAGGGGTGCAGGGAACTAAGGAGGTGCCTCTTGTCCAGCCTGGGCAAGCTAAAAAGTAACTAGCAGGAGGTTGATTTCCTTGATTGTAATTATGTTAAAAAGTTAAAGAGTTTAGGACCCCATCACTGAGAAAAAGGGGGATCTCACGAGGGGCTGTGGTGAGTTTTGTCTCCCTCAAAGCATCACTGTGGAGCTGAGAAGAGAGCTGGGCTTTGGTATTTCGTGATTAATCTGGAGGTTTGGGAGAACCATTGTTAAGCTGAATAATACTGTGGAGAGGCACAGGGAAGCCTGAGCAGGGACAGAGGGAACCTGAGAGCACTCCCAGCTCAATTCCCTTCCTCTCCCCTGTGCAGGTCCTGCATGCAGAGCCAGACAATACACTATTTTATTACCATGGGTGCAAGACTAGAGCTGTGCAGCTGAATTTCAGCCTAGTCTGGGACTTACCCAGCATAGCCCAGTCCTAGACTCATTCCAACCACCTGAAATGAAAGAAAGCCATGAGTTTAAAGGCAGAGCCAAAGCCATTAGTCCCCTCCTCAGGGCTGGAGTTTACCTTCCATAGACCTGTCTGAACTTAGTTTCTGAACTTGGTTTCTGCAGTGACATCAGTGGAATTCCTGAATGCAGTGGATTAAACCAGAGCAGAGTCTGCTCTGTATTTGCATTCTGATCTTAAAGTAATGCTTGGTTTTGCTTGGGAAGGAGGCCTGGCAGTGTCAGAAACTCAGCCTTTGCCAGTGTTGTTCCTAAAGCATCCTTTACATTGCTGACTCTGTGTTTGCATAGAGAACTGTAATTTCCCAGGAATATTATATTCCAGTTTGGTTTTCATCGTATCTTTCTAACTGTCCTGTTCTTTAAAACAAAAAGCCTACTTTGTGTTCTGGAATGTACAGAATGTGCAGAAACCACTGGGATACAGTAGTTGCACTTTGCTTTCCAAAAACCCAAACTCCAGCAGGCAAAATCCAAGGAAGCAGAGGCCCAGGATGGGCAAATTGGCTTATCAGTGATTGGATTTTTTTGTAGGAATTGCAATTATTTATGTATCTATCCTGTCATAGATACATGGATTTAATGGTGTCAGTGCTGGAGAATGCAGGAGGAACCTGCCACATACAAAGTGTCTGTATTTATGCTGAGCCAGGAATTTGTATCACAAGATGTTTAGAGTATTGAACATTATTTTATTCATAACCTGGCACTCAGAGTCCGTGCAAGCTGGCCAAAACAAACAGTCCCCACGTGTTAACAGGTGAAATAACAGTATTTATTTAGTTATTTATTTGTGGAGTTTTAAAAAGTTTTGGCATGCCAAATTGCCCCAGATTCTCTTTGTAGGGAGGAATATGAAATAACTGTGTATTCACTGATGACATGGATTCAAAGTTCAGCATTGTGTGAATAGTTCCAATCTGATAAAGACCCTGACTCACTGCTGGGAAGGCTGCAGTTGTACATTGCTCACAGTAAATAGTGTTGTTGATAGATTTAATGTCTGCATGTGAGGAGGGCAGGTTCAGTGCAAAATCACTTGTTACTTGTGATTCTTAACTCAGGGTCAGGATCTTCCCTGTGCACGAGGGCACAAAAAACTTATGTGCTGCATATGTGTCCTCCTCCTGTCTGCAGAGAGCTTGTGCCAGTGCTCTGCTTCCCAGGAATTTCACCCTGTGTGAGTCCAGCAGGATGTTCTTGGACTTGGATTTGGTTTATAATGAGCATTTAAAATTCTAGACATATTGGTTAATTCTGACTGGACACTTAGGTCACACAATTAGATTCTTATTCTCTGAGTAGAAGGGTAAAAAAAGGCACCACTGGATTGCTAGACAAGGGTATGGGAAGGGACAGTTCTTAGAAGAGAATTTATTGTTCCAGAAACACAGATAGCTGAAATGTTTGGTGTGGAATTCAATTCTTCACAAATTCTGAGAGAAGGATTTTCATCATGAGGATCCAGAAGCTTTAATGCAGGGCTTGGACTTAGGGGGACTTTACAGCTATCAGCAACTCCAGCTTAAAACAGCTCCTCCTTTAAGGAGAAACATGAAGTCTGTAGCAGTTAGATTATAGTGAACTCTTTAAAATTCATCCTTCCAGGGCAAAATTCCACTGTAAAACATTTGTTCCCAGTCCTGTAAAAATCACTGTGAGGAAGCTTTGTGCTGACTAAGATGGAAACTTTTTCCATTAATACAAATTGATCTCAGAACAAACAACTTTGTGCAATTAATTTTCTTGTGCATTTGTTATTTATTGTTAAGAATCATCAGGGAAGCAAGATTTAGCTAACAGTGATAATTATCACGGATTAAAATAATGGGCTTTGATGCTTTGTGTGCAAACAGCTTGCCTGGTGATTTGGCCTTGGATCCTTAATTTCCCAAACCAAGATCCTTTGAAGATGCCGGGAAGTCATGTAAGAAAGAGGCGAAACCTCATTTAAAAACTCAAGTCCAGATACAACTTGTAAACAGAACAGGCTGTTTGGGTGGTAGTGACAGAGTGTTATTTTTATATTGGTAGTGGTTGTTTTGTAGAACACATGGACTCTGTGTGTGAGAGGACAGCTCCCAGCCCTGTATAAATAACTCACTTCTGACAGCAGTGGATATGGTTATCCTGTATAAGGTCCTGGATCCTGTTGCATTCAGCAGATGGGCAGCAGTAAAACCTCCAAACCTGGGCCAGATGAGTTGTTTTATGTTCTCAGACCCTGTGTAGAGGAGGTGAGGGCAGGAGGCAGGGCCGTGCAGGTCTGAAACCTGCACCCACCAGCCCAAACCTTGTCCACTGGCCTTAGCAATGGCTCTGCAGCCACTGCCCATGCTCTAAGGGAGAGGAATTTTATTCTATTTTCTGTCAGGTTTATTTGCAGATGGTCCTTACTGTGTACTGTAGCTGTGGAAAGCTTTTGGAGCTCACTGAGCAGGTTCAGGAAGCAGTCCTGGCTGTCATGTTTGTATATTCCCAATGTATTTGCAGCATATTTCAGGTGTTGCACAAGGAACTGATAAATCTCCTTTGCTTTGCAAACACATAAGGCCAGGTCTGTAAACTTAATTTAAATGTCTTTGTTAGCCCTGTGCTTGAGATTAACAGGCTGTACTGTAATTCTGAAGACAGAGAGTTGTTCTGTTACTGAGAACCTCCACATCTTCTCTGCATTGCAGACACTTCTCTTTTAAACCTCTTGTCTTAAAGGGATAGAATTATTATTTTTAATATTTAACTCAGCATTGGTATTATAAGTTTCATAAATAAACTGTTTCTGACCCCCAGTCTATGAACAAAATAGAAGACCCACTGAAGGTGTTAACCTGAAATGATTCTTTTATTGTTGCCCGGATTCTTTAGAATTGCAATTCATTATATCATCCTTTTTTATATATGATGCAATATGGAAAAGGGAGTCCAAGCCATCTCCCATTCAGTCCTTTCTTCCAAGAGGAAATTCCACATCCAGTTTGCATTCAGCTAAAGAAACAAACATCTCTGTACACTCGTTCTACTTTGAAATAGTTCCTCCTTGTTTGAAATCTGAGCTGTTAAATGTTCTAGTGCTGGAAGCATTTTTGCATTTCTGTTGTAGTTGTGCTGGTCAAAAGAACAAACACAGGTTGCTCAGTTTCCCAACACTTGCCTCAGCCTCCCAGACTGCTGAAAATGTGCCTCTTGATGCTTTAGCAAGACAGTAGTTCATTCTTTCATGATGAATTATATTTTTGCTGACAAACTTTATGTCGAGGATTACATTCCTGGGAGGAATGCAGGCAGCCTGTGAACAGAGTGTGTCTTTATGTGTGTGTGGCTCTCTGGGAAGCTGAGCAGGACTCGCAGCCCGGGGCTGCACCACTCCCCTTCTCCAGGCTGAGCTGGCAGGAGCAGTTGCAGGAGTCAGACTTGGCACTGGAGTCATGGAGGACGTGTCCCACGTGATGTGGGATGCGCTGCTGGCCTGCTGGGGGGAGATGGAGTTTTGCCTACCTGTGGTGGTGACAGATCTGTGGTGCTTGAAGGTGAACAGCACCAGGGGCTGCTTTTTGGCTACCCAGCACTCCCCCTCTATCCTCAGCTCTCTCCCCTTCAGGTCCTGCAGTGATGTAACAGGGAACAGAAGGCTCAGGGGAGACCTTACTGCTCTCTACAGCCACCTGAAAGGAGGTTGTGTGGAGGTGGGGTCGGGCTCTTCTCCCGGGCAACTGGTGACAGGACAAGGGGAAACGGCCTCAAGTTGCACCAAGGGAGGTTCAGGTTGGATATTGGGAAAATTTTCTTCAGTTGGAACAGGCTCCCTAGGGAAGTGGTGGAGTCATCACCCTTGGAAGTGTTAAAAAATCAAGTTAACGTGGCACTCGGTGCCATGGGTGATGTTCTGCCAAAGGCTGGACTTGATCTTGAAGGTCTTTTCCAACCTTTATGATTCTGTGAAGGCACTCACGTGCAGAAGTACAGGCCAAGGCTGTATTTTTTGAGTGCCTTTCCTCCAACTGGCCTTTGGACTCTTTCTAGGTTATAATTGAGGGGCAAGATTATATAGCAAGAGC